GTACTGCTGTGAATGGGGTCAGCAGCAAAACATAGTTTGGCCACTGAAAAGAATGCCCACCTAAAATTAAAACAAAGAAAGAAATCAATATTTGTTTTAGTGTACATCATCTTTGTGATATTTGCCCCCTTTACTCTGCTGTCAGACAGTCCTTTCCAGTGGGGAATGAAAGCCATAATGGTAATAATAGTACTCTCTTCAAATCTACCAGACTGACAAAAATGCTTATTTTACCTTGCAGAACAATGGTGTTTCTGGTATTCTGTTGCCATGACTGAGCAATTTGCATAATCTTGTGATTAGTTCAGCTTTCCATCAGCAAGAAACATCTGATAAGAAGAATAACAATGTACATATATAGACATATATTTATACTTTAAGTCTATGAATACTATAGTACTATATAAATAAATCTTACACATAAAGACACTGTCATTTCTTAAATTATCGGTTTTTAGTGCCCTACGTTTCACAACCATTATCAGGGTTTCTCGGATAACTTCTTCTGTACTTTCTCACCACCTGTTTCCATCAGGTTTCAGACAGAGGAGGAGAGAAGTGCTGTGGGAGTCTAGTGGCACTCTGGGGACGTGCCCTCATCTGACGGAGTTCATTCCTTGTGACGATCCTGCCTGCTACCTGTGGCAGGTCCAACAAGAGGGAAGATGTATTCCCACAAAAAACTCCTGCGGTCCTGGAACTGCGATCCAGAATGTGACCTGTGTCAACGCTAAAGGTAATGTTTCACATATTCTTCATAGATAAACCGTTCCTGTCACATTTTAAATGCATTTCATTGTGACTGAAAATCGGTCATTTAAATTCAGTTTGACCTTCTTCCAAGTAGAAAAGCTTACTAAAATGAATACTTTACTTTTTGAATAATCACCTTCTTTACATTTTTTTAACTCGACTATCTTCTAGAGCATCCAATGCCTGAGGCGTTTTAAAAGGCAAGGACATTAGTGACTAGAGTCTTGAATTGCTGAATCCTCAGAGACTTCATTCTTGTCCAAGATAACTCTGAAAAGAGGCAAAATAACAAAGGAGTGCCTAAAGGGAGAGCAATGACAGCTCAGCTAGACATTTACCTGTTCTATCTAGAGAAAGGCAGCTCAAAAGTTAAACAAGGATCCAGCCAGCAATACTCACGAAAGTAGTGGCTAGAAAAATGTAACAGAAGTTCAACGCTGTTTGAACTCTCAGTCACATCCTGGATGAGCCCCCAAATTATTACATATCTGAGGAGGGGTGGGGGATGTGGGGAGTAGCAATAAAATGTCCAGGTGAAAGTCAAAAACTGAAATAAAATTAATCTATATTTTATGAAAAGGTTCAGCTTTGAAATGATTTTTAGACGAGAAGACTATGCTGCTTTATCAGTCAAGCATTACCAAATCATTTGTTAGCCAGTAAAGAAAAGGCAAATAGTCTAAAGAAAAAAGCACTTCTGTTAACAGAAGGCACTGACTACTCAGCACTACCAAAAGCACAAAACATGCAGACCACTAAAGCTCACCACACTAGCTGGCCCACACTGAGAGATTAGCTCTTCCCCAGCTTTTACAGTGCAGGGTGGTTAATTGCTGAGTGAAATCAGCTGTGCACTCACTCCACAGCAGAAAGGGGCACCACCAAATTGAGGTTAGAAAGCAACACTACGAACACAGTAGGCCTGCTATAGTCTTGACTGTATCAATACAAGGTGGGGGAGATCCTGGTTTTGAGCAAAACTAGTTAGTGGCTTGAGCTTTACTTCATATTTACTTCCTGTTGCTGGCAAGAAAAATAATTTGCATATTTATGGCAAAATGTGGATTTAACAGTTTCTGACCATAATAAATCAATTCCTTTTATGGTTTTTATTATTGATTGCTATTTAGTTATAGTATGGATTAATTTATTTTTTGGCTTTAACTATAAATCCACAAATGTAATATTGCTTATATATAGCTATCACTAGAAATTCATCCAAATTCACGGTAAAGCCATTAGTGCTTTGGTCTTGACATGCAATCTTATCAGTTATGCAGAAACTATCAAGTATAATGTGATCC